ACGATTATAAACAAAGCAGCATACCAGATAACACCTGCTCACAAATCTACACTACTATCTAAAAATAAAGAAATTTTTCTAGTTGACATTTTGTAGGCAAACCTTCAGAGCAAATCCCTCCAGTATACCCAGGGCTTGGCTGTCAGGGCCAGGACTCACCTGCAAAGCCTGCCTACCTGGCTCTGAATTTCTGGATGTTAACCTGTCAGGATGGTTTAATGTGGGTCATTTTGTGTCCAAGGCTATGAGAGTTTGAGTTACTACTTGAAAACATAGGATATATGTCTACACTCTGGTGGATTTACTGTTCCTACTTTGTCCTGCTTTTTTCTTTCACATAGCTCTTTTTAAAAAGGGAAATATAACCAGGAGTTTCCCTTCATGGGCATGACCAGGGCTGAGAACTGAGTGTTCCTTTGAAGTCCCAACATCCTTGAATATTACTTCTCTGCCCAGGGAGGCACCTTCTCCAGGCACTCCATTACTTTGGTGGAAGGGTTTGCTTGCTCTGGCCTCTACCAATTTTTTTTTTTTTTAATTAAGATGTTCTACCCTTAAATTTATTCTATTTTTCTAACTTCTTAGGTCTTTTTGTAGATCCTAAACTTTACTTTTATTAGCACATGTTTGCAATATATGATTACTTGCATTGGCAGTCGCTGGTGCTTATACATGACACATCTCAGTTATTTTTCATTCCCTTTCCTTGTGGTAGAGTCTTGATACTTCTTCACTTTGGACATCTCTGACAAGCTAATGCCTCTTTTCCTCTCACTGTTGTAGGCAAGGTGGAGGGTGGGGGTGTCAACTAAGTGACTTCAATGGGCAGATTGTAATTTGAACCTCTCTAACCAATGTTCCAAATATGGTTGGCTGTCCATTTTCAGACTGTAGGTTACGTATCTCTCTAAAAATTACACTACATGGACAGTCCCTAGGTTTCCACTCATATTATTCCTCCTTTGAAATATCAATCATAGGAGCTTCATGATTAAGAACTTATTTAGTTTTCAGGGAAGGCAAATAATTAAATGAAAGCTGTAGCTCATGGGACAGTACTGTTCAAATCTACTCTATCTCCGTCTGGTTTTATTTAACTTGGTTCCGTCTTATTTTTGTCTTCTTCCAGCTTCTTGTAGGCTAAAAATGAAAAAGTCTGAGCCTTAGATGTATTTCTGGCCCCATGGGGTTGATGCATGTTTTGAATCTCTTCTCTTTCCTTTTCTCCTACAATCAATGTGGCAAGGCACAGGTTTGAAACTTCAAAAGAAAATAATCTTAACTGCGAACTGAACATCATCTTTCAATCAGCGTTGACCTTCCTCTCTCTTCCTGAATATCTCACCTGAGCAATCTGTTCCTTTTAGCTTCAAGAAACTGCTGGAGGAAGAAATGCTAAATCTAGTTTTTAATTAACTTTGCCATTGATTTCTCCATAACTCCATATGAGTCACCTCTTTTGTGAATGGGATGAAAGTCTCAGAGATTAATGGTTGTTTTCAGGAAGATTTTAGTCCGGCTTCCAGTTCTTCTGCAATTTCTTCTTCTTTTGTCCTCTGAATTCATTAGCTGACTGTGCTCCTTTTAAAACACAGAGACCCAAAGACGCCCAGGTACACAGGCACATGCATGTACATAAAGATCCAATATGCTTTCTGAATGAAAATATCAGGTGGATGATTATGTACCAGATACAGTGGTTGAAAGAAAAAGTTTTCTTCTGTACTTTTACCTACTTCAATGTCTATAAATATTTACATATACATATATATTTACATTTAGTACAGTGCATGTTTGTACTACATAATGTTTCTATACCTTGTGGGGAATTGGAACATGTACATAATACAGCTTAATTCCTTTATTTCATCTCCTCTCCCTCCCCCTTTTCCTCCTCCACCCATTTCTTGATTCTCTTCCCTTTTCTGTACACATTTGCAATATGTAATGTTTACATTTCTTGTGTGGAGTTCATACATGTTTATAACACATCTTCATTCCTTTCTTCATCTCCTTTTCCTCTTTAACCTACTTCCTTCCTTTATCTCTTGATCCCCTTCCTCTTTGAGAAAGATCAATTCCCTACTTCCTATTATCTAGTAAGATGATTTTAATGAAAGTTTCTTATAGAAAAAATTATCTTCCTAGAATGAAAATTCAGTTATGGCATATAGAGGAGAGAGGTTATTGAACTTTAAAATAGCAAAAGTATGGAAAATGTTGCTTCCCAGTATCATACGATGGACAGACGATCTCTTAAAAACATTACTGTGTGTCCTCATCCACCTGATTCATTGGATCTGGCTCCATTAAATTTCTGGCTCTTCCCCAAAGTCAATATGACCATGAAAAGTAAGTGTTCTGAATTGACTCAGGATATAAAAGCCACTACAACAATACAATTAAAAGTATTCATGAGAGTAGACTTCCAGAATCATTTCAGAAAGTGACAGGAATGATGGAATATGTATGTTTAAAGTGAGGGGGAGTGTTTTGAGGGGGATTAATGACACCATGCATTTTACTACAATATTTTTTAAAAAATTAAAAGCACTGTGATGGTTAATTTATTATGTCAACTTGAGAAGTTTAGTTAAGAGTTTATCTAAATTGTCTCAGCAATTCCACACTGTAGGTTGGGGAACACCAACCCTAGGGTGGCTTGTAGCTTGGATGGTATAAAGGATCCATAAAGGTATAAAGGATGAAGAAGGATGGGTCTACTTCTGCTTCTTTGGTGAAGCTCCAGTTGTCACCTTCACCTTGGATATTGTGTCCTGTCTTCCAGCACAGACTCTTTTATTTCTGACACAGATCCTCTGGCCTCCTGGTGTAGACTCTTCAGTCTTCCATCACAGACCAATTCACTTCCTGATATGGACTGGCATGGACACTGCAGTGAGCTCCAGTCCTCAAAATGAACCCTTTGGTCTCCACTATGCAGAAAGACTCTCTGCATGCTTCCTCATCTGACACGGTGGTGGCCATTGCAAACCAATCTTATAAATTCTTGTACATTCCTACATCTTGTGTTATGTCTGTTTCTCTAGTTAAACACTGACTGATACATACACGTTGTTTTTTATCACTCCTTGTACTGTCATCTATACTATCCTCATGTGGTTCATTCATTATATTTCTACCTATAAATTTTAAATAATCTCATCTTAATTCTTTCTGAGCCATTTTCATTTATTTGTTGTAATTCTTCTGCTTGATTTTAAATCTGAGTACTGATTACAATCCAACAAAAGATCTGTCTAAAAACTTATTGTCATTATAAAGGTCTTTTTTATGTTTGGCAATTTTACTAAATTGTAAATATTGGAAGGGACTAGGTTAAAAGTGTCTTAGAATTATAAAATAATCCCTAAGAAACTAATGGAATTTAATTATATGGAGTTGAGTTGATGCCAGATTTTTTGCTATGCCCCCAAACAATGAAAGACACTCCAATTCCCCAGGTAAGCCCTCTGTCCCTGATGGTTGCAATTTGCTTTTATTTCACTTTTTCTTATCACCATTTTGTGAATCCGTGGCTGTCTGGATTATCTTTCAAAATGACCTCTATAACCCTGTGATCTCTTTGTCACTTCTGTGGCAGAAAGCTAATAGAGCTTTCTGATGTAATCTTCCTCTTTGTGTCTAATTGTCTTTACTTCTATTTTTCCCCTTTACTCTTAGCCAGAGTGTTTGCTACCTATCAGGCTGTCAGGGAAAGTGTTAAAAATGAGAGTGAAATGCAGGTGTTTACTGAAATGCTTTGCCTACTGCCTTTCTTTGGAGAGGCTGACTGCCTCTTGGGAAAGGAATGTATAGAGATAACAGTTAACACACAAAAAACTGACCGTTCCTAGACTCTAGCCAAGTCTGGAAATGATCCCTTCTAGCCATGCAGGACTGTTGGTATCACATCACTTTTGTCTGAACACATTTATTAAAAGGGATTAACAAACTGGAGCATTTTCTCCTTTGCCTGCTGAATGGTCTGTGTCATGCAAGATCCTTCTCCAGGGGATTCACCTTCATCTTTGGTGTGGTCTCCTGCCTTGATGTGTGGTAATGGTATTTGACTATGCTCATATCTGCTGTATTTTTACAATAAACTTACTTTCATATTTTGAAAAACATTACATTGCTCTTCTCTGTTCATGTGGATCTGAACCTCAAATTTCTATGGCCACAATTTATATGTGGCTCCTTGCTGTTATACAGAACCATCATGCTTCCTTGTATTTTCCATTTTAGCTGCACCACATTCCTTTACCCTCTAACGTAATGCCCCTATTCTCTTATTTCAATGCCCTTAAACACAGTGCTTCTTCAGCCTTCAAACCTTGCTCACTCCATCTTATGTTTCCGTTTCACCTGAGCATGCCTGATAATCTTGCAACTGTGAATTTAGTTTTTGCTTCATGCAGGAAGCCTTCTTGCCCTGGCTCCTGGTAAATACTTGTGTAAGTTCTTTCAACTTCTGACGTATACCAAGAAAGTTCCAATCGTGTTTTGATTGGTTTTTTCTTCTTTGCTTTATCATAGGTGGTGTGAGGACAGGGACCAAATATATCTTCATGGTATCCCATGGTATCCCCAGAACCCAGAACAGTGCCATAGAATGGGTTAGGCATTTTTGTTGTTTTGAATGCATTTTCCCCCTTTGGTGTCCCTTTATACTAATTTCACTACTGTTCTGAATACCATTTAACCTATTTGTAGAATTAGATATCAGAACACAAAGATGGATGGTTTTATTTTACCCTTTATAATAACTAGATTTTATGTAGAAACTAAAAGTTATTTTTAAACCAAGTCCATAAAGACCCTATGTCTTAAGTAATGGACTCTTCAAAATGGTAAACTCAAAAAAGGATGATATTTGGCAGGCAAACACTGTGAATGGAACAAGTAACAAGGAAGAAACCAAAGCTCAAGCTTGTTCTGAAAAACAAAACAAAAAACAGAAAGAAATAAAGAAAAAACTTTTAAATTGTTATTTAGAAAGCACACACAGCAATTTATTGGGGCAAAAGAGAAAATGCAAAATAATTGTGCATATAAATTCATTTCAAAAGAACTGATGCCACTTCCCGAGTAATATCCATGGGTTTTAAAAATTTTGCATTTCTTATATCTATATCCATAACTAGAGTTAAGGATATAGATATATGGAAACACATCTCACATTCGTCAGAAATTCTTCCTCCAAAATGCATATCCTTTTACTTCCCGGAATGTTTCTACAGGCATTTTCTTGGATCATGCCACAGTCTCTTTCCTCTGAGTTCGTCTCTGATGACAAGTAAGAATACTTGTGAAAGAAGATTTCCCCTTAGTTCTTGACTTTTTCTTTAATTTTTTTTGATTCTTGAGGGAGATTCCCAGTTCTTCCATGATGGCATTGAAAGAGAGACACTAGAGAACATGAAATAACAGAGCATCAGTTTAACTGAACTTCTCCCCAGCCTGTGCAGACCTGTATTTTGCCTACAGTTTGTGACCACAAGATAATGGTTTAAAGACAGTTCTGTCACAGCTGCCCAGTTCCCATCATCTCCTCCTCCACCCACTGGCCACCCCTCTTTTCTACGCAAATGCACTGAGGCAGTAAGTTAGCTGGAAAACTTTATGGTTTCATTCACAAATGCACCAGTAAAAAACTACACAGTTAGAGAAAATTCAAGACTCTCAAAATAGATAACTTACCTTTGCTGAGACACCAAAACAGACTTAAATTAAGGCATTTCCCCCACTGAGATGATCCAAACATTGATAGGTTTATCAAGGCATACGGACACTTCAGTAATGCTATAGAAAATGAAACAAACCTTCTCTACACCAAGGCTTTGTTTTTTTCTCGCATGAAACCTTACTTTGTTCCTAAAATAAAATCTAAGTCTTGATGACTTTCCTTTCTGATAAAAAAAAAGAAAAAAAACAATTTTAAATTGTATATTTTTTTCCAAAAAGAACAGAGATTCTGGCAGCAGCAATGATGCAGCTGTGATTGAAATGGAAAATGATGTGGTATAGAACTGCACAGCAAAAATGATGGCATAATACAAAAGAAAATGCAATTGTGATGATACAGTGCTATACATATGCAGATGAGATCTATATGTATATAGATATATATCGCCATTACAATTGAACTATATTCACATGCACAGTATATAAATGGCCCAATAAAACATCATTCACTGTCATTTCTTCTAGCCAAGCTAAGATATTTGAGTGATAAATTTCTGCTTTTAAGGAGTCCATAGTTTTGTTTTTTGATGAGGTTACTCTCAAAGTAGCCTGTAGGGAGATAAGCCTGCACAGAAGGACAAAGATTGTGTGAAGCATCTAAAATACTCAGATTTATTGAAACAGGAGGACTAGCCCTAGATATGGGCTGGGTGAGAGGGAAATGGAGGCAATAGTTGTTCATGTGGTATAAAGTTTTAATTATACAAAGAGTAAGTTCTGGAGGTCTGCTGTACACCATTGTGGCTATAGTTGCCAGTATTGTATTATGTACTTATAATTTGCTAAAAGGGTAGATCTCAAGTTATAAATATTTACTACAGTAAAAAGAAAATAAAAACAAAATAAAACAAAATTAGGTGGATCTGAAAAATCACCAAATCAAAATCATTTAAGTGAAAAGAAAAAGAAAATGTTAAAAATATCAATGTCTTTGGTAAAGATTATAGAAGTGAAAATGTTACCACTTTAGCACTGGCTTACAAAATGGATAAAATTGAGAGTCAGCTAACAAGCTACCAGATCATTTCTCTAGGTTGTAAGTGCCTTGTAGCAAGACCCTAGGGTCCCTTGTTTGCAAAGTTCTAAATAATATACTCTTTGTGTATCAATATGAACCATGCACTTTTGAAAATTTATATTCAATTTTGTCTAAAAGAACTTGATGTAGGTTAAGTAGTAGTTTTAAAATTTTTGTGCTTGATTTGAAAGTCAGATGTATAAGCTTAGATTCTAGACATAAACCCCTTGAAAAACTACTTCTTTGCATAAGGCTTTCTGTCTCTTTTAAGCATGTGTTCATAAGATTTGAATTTTATTTCCATTTTCCTGTGGTACTAAAAGATGAAAATTCAGGTCATGCCTGTTAATTTTCTTTCAAATGGTAAATTGTGGCTTCAGTTAGTTGAGAAGGTTTAGTGGCATACACACAAAAACATTCAGAAATGTTTTCTATGAATTATAATTCCAAAAATGGTAGAGCAAGTATATTGCAAATAAAATAGAGTTTATTTTAGCATTATGTCATATAGTCTATGTGTTGCTACTACTAACATTTTATAGTGTCACTGATGTATAGTGTCATATTAGGGTTTTGTGAACTTTGCTCAAAAGTTTCTTTCAGTGGAGGGTTATTTGATATAGGACATTTTTAATTTCAGTAAGATCATTAAAATGTGGGGGAAGGAGGAGGCAAAGGGATCAGTACCACGGAACTGACAAACATTGTTACCTAAAATCTCACAGCAACCTCATAACACGGGTGTTATTATACACAGTACAGAGATGGAGACATTTACTATTGGGATATTAAGTAATTTACCTCAAAGAAAAAGCTTGTAGTTGAACTCAGTCCACTTGGACTGCTTGGGCCCAATTGCTTTTACTGGAAATGATCTACATCTCAATTTTTAATTTTTTAATTATTAAAAATAGTTTTTGGAAATTATTTCCCCATAAAATACATATAGTAAAGAATTCCAATCTTTCTTTTTTATTTCAACATTCATGCATTTGAATTTTGGTATTTTATTTTATATTGAAACCATTCAAAGGAACCTCCTGCATGCACACAAGATGCAATGAAGAAGCTGTTATCTGAAACACCCCTTTTCTATTTGAGGGAAAGAGGTAGTCATAGATCTTATCGTGTCGATATGCTTCAGTGAAGTTTGTCTTTAAAAAGAAAAGAAAAATCTTCCCTCAAATTTTGACTGTCTTAAAATACAACAAGCATCTTTATTCTTTTGATTAACCCCAAATATAGTTCTTCTTGCTTCTAGTATGAGACTGAATAGAAATGTAGCTTTATATGTGGCCTGGTTTCTGTCTTTGGCCACAAACAATGATTTCTTTTTGATTCTCCTTTTGTCTCTAACTGTCAAAAAGAAAATGGCAAGATATGGGGGCTGACCTTTCTGCTTCCAAGTTTTTGTTGTAGTCACAGGGAAAGATGACCTTTAAGGTCCCTGGCAGCCTGAGCTCAAGTAAACTACAAATTCTTGTATGCAGAGGAAATGAAATAGCGAAGGTCATCTCTCAGCCTGGAGTGGATCTCACTAGGTGGTATGAGATGGACTCCTATTCGTTAACTACCTTGCCTTTTCTAATCTCAGAATTAAAGATCCATATAACATATAAAGGTTGAGTTTAGAGAATCAGAATCAAAATTACAGTAGCTTTCTAGAGCTTACATCTCTGGGCTTGGGTTTTGATGAATTTCTCATACAAATAGAGATGTGAAAGCATTATTTTTTTTAACATGATAGTTTAAATTTCTAGATTCTACTTTCATCAAAAATGTCAAACAGAGCAACATGTAGCTAGCTGATATCTCCAGGAGCACTGTTATTGAAAGCAGGATATCCTAATGATTTCTTCAATTTACTGAAGCCTGGAAATGCTGCCGGCAGTTTGGATCTTAAATATTTCTATTTATTTCTGATGCATGATCACATTTTTAATGGAGCTATATATGACTATCAATTCTACTTTGGAATTGGTCACCGGCAACTCAGAATGCTGCTGTTTAAACTTCAAGTATGGGGCTTAGCTACCTTAAACTGGGCAGTGTTTATTTTCTCTTTGACTCAGTTTCCGTATCTATAAGATATTAATAGAATCCATTCCATGGAGCTACTATAAGAATTCAGTGAATTAATGTGTGTGTATGTGTGTGAATGACATGTAGTTGAATGGTTTCTTCTAAAAAATTTATTACTACAGTGAAAACATTTTAATCCTATGGCAGTTGCCTACTTTCTTTTCTTCTACTTTTTTTTTAAAGATTGATGCTTCTTTCATTTGAGTCACCATACGCCTCTCCATTCAGCAATACTTTTGTTTATATCAGTGTTGTACATAAATATATCATCTATATACTTAACATATAAGTTTTCAATGCCTTTTGTTACTCTGTTCAGTCCAGAACATGTTTCCGTGTTTTTGAAGGAAATAACATCATGACAGCTGTGTCGTGCTCCGTGAATAATAGGTGCTCAAACATGAGAGGGAAAGTAAACATAACTGTAGTTCTTTTTTATTAAAAAAATCCATGTGCTTGTGAGCCCATTTACAACAAATCTTTGTGATGATAAATCTGACAGGAAGCTCCACTTGCAAAGGAAATGTTATCTAGAACTGCAGCTCTCCTGGTTGTGGAAGAAAAATTTGCTTACATACTTCAGTTTTGCTGAATGACATTCGTCTTTTCTGTGTCTTCACTTCCTGGGTGTGTCTCTCAAGCCCCTTCCTCAGCTTCTCCTGCATTCATTTGATCTCTTTGATCTTCCCCTTTGGTGTGTTTCTCTTTATAGCTGCTGACTTTTTTTTTTTTTTTTTTTTTTTTTTTTTTTTTTTTTTTTTTTTTTTTTGTCTTTTTGAGACAGCATTTCACTATGCAGTTCAGGCTGGCCTTATGCTCACTTTTTAGCCTACGCTGGTCTCAAACTTGCAAGGATCCTCCTGACTCAGCCTCCCAAGTGCTGGGATTACAGGCGTGTGCATAGAACCTTTTTAAATTAACCCCAAATATTTTATTTTTTTGGTGCTGATGTAAGCCTGAATGTAAAGTATGTAATTTTTCATTATGCCTTTATTCTTCCACTGCAAAGGTTGTCCTGGATCATGCCAGGGAAACTCACAGAGTTCTTTTTGTTTTAACCTAAAATATATTGCCTCAGAAAATAGTGTAAAGAAAGACAATAATTTTTTAATTTATAGAAAAACCTCTGCATTAGAATTTGATTTGAATATGCACCATTCATAAAACTAGGTTTTCTGGGATTGGTTTCATATTGGTTGCAAATTTGCCATCAGACTGTAAATGTCTGACTGACTTTTTGTTGTAAATTCAAAATTTATGCATTCAGTTTGTTCATTCGCTGGTACTTGTAGGTGGAAATTTGGGAGAATTACTTTGATGTTTATACCTTTAGTGCTTTTTTCTCAACAAGTTATTTTTAAGAGCTCTGACCGAGTCAATAATATAATACAAATCTTACATTTTGTATATTTTTCTCATTTTAGATTAGTAGGCTGCTTATTCAAAGATACTCGACGTGCCCTGTGACATTGTTTAATAAATTTTCACATTTCACATGGAACACAAGTATGTTGATGATATTATCATCATTTTATAGATGTAAAGCCTGTCACTTGAAGTATGAACCTGCTATAACTTAAAATCAAAATATGCCTTAAAGTCTTTCTGTAAAAAATATTTTCAGTAACATATGGAGTGCCAAGCAAACAGATTTCTGAGAAATAATGGTATTATCGTTTTCTTGGCTTGGTCAAATTATTGCCATAGTCCCATGGAATCAGTGTTTGAATGGAATTTTTTATATCAAGAAGGACTAAGTTCACATCCTTAACATTTTTTTATATGCTCAGGAAAATCCTTCGGTTCATATAGAAAATTTAACAAGTTTTATGCTTAAAGTCAGGAAATGTTTTAGGGTACAGGAACAGAACTCCTACTTGTATATTTGCTACCTTGAAGCTTTGGAAAGTTTGATCACTCATCTACACAAAGCCTTTGGTTCCTTCAGGGTCATTGATAGTCTGAGGGCAGAAGTCAGGCTCTTGATGTCCTCTCCCTGCTCCTAGTAATTTAGTGAAGGTAGATAGAGGGAAGCTCTTGGAATAATTAGGTATGTACCATCTT